TTGGTAATTCAATAACTCTATTTCTCAGTTTTCTTTGAATGCAACTGTGTACAGAGTCACATTCCATTTGGGTGTGTCCTTTGGTAAGATATTTCTGAGAAATCACAACGTCGTGTTTCATTGCAAAGTTAAGAAAAATAGCACGCGTAATTGTCAGATAGCTGGAATTGCCGCTCATTGACAGACGTGATGCCAGCGGTAGGTATTGTTTTGGCTGAATAATTCAAAAACTAAAAATTTTTCTCCAGTTAGCGGACTCTATCACAATGTGCGCTGTAGGTAGACGAAGAAAAATGTGCATATACCTCAAATTGGGCAAAAATGTTAGATAGCAGGTATGGTCAGATGTCCGACGATATGTTTTTCTCAAATGTTATTATGGTGTGATAGTGCTGAAGTATAAAAGCACACTAAAATCTCCTTATATTTATAACATATTTATAAATGTTATCAGAGACAAAAAGGTGCATTTTATTTTGAATGACTGTTGTGTGCGCAAATATACAATTTGTGTTTTTATCACAGATTTCCAATAACAATCCAAATTTGTATTAATACAAATATACAGGGTGTTACTTGATGATAGGAGCTTTCCTGTACCAAATTTAAGGAGAAAAAAGTTCATATAAACATGTGTCCTTAAAAGTCTGGTTTGTACAATACAAGGTGACAAAGTTTTAAAAAAAATTATTAGTGTTTTATTAATATCTCATAGACTCTTGTGCTGATCATGTTGAATTCTGATAGTGTGGCCCAAGCCAATGAGACTTCATGTTAGCACTAACTAAATGATACTTATGGATTCCAGTGGCATCTCTGGGGCCAGTCTCATAAATGATATTGACAAAGAAAATTATACCACTGACTTTTTAAAAAACTATAATTTTTTCGGATCAAGCAGATAATGATACAATTTTTTTATCTTTTGCTATCTCTTCATTACTACTTAGTATAGTTGTGGTCACCGTTCGTGGCGGGTCAATTTAATACTACCAGTATATCTTTATATATCTCCATCTACCTCATACATACACATGCAACCTACCCCTGTGTGTGAACGTTTGTTCGGTAAGCTCAAAGTCATACGTTTTTTAGTTGTGTCTTTCTGTCTCGAGAACATTGTCGTTACGGTTACGTATGAGTGCGCTTCAATCATGTTTGTCAGTGACAACTTTTAAATAATATAAAATTGTACAATAATAATAATAATAATAATAATAATAATAATGATATTTATTCGCCAAAATACAAAAAATGGGCAAACAAATATGAAAAAAACACAGAAGGCATCGCCTGTGTGTGGATTATATCTTAATAACGAACAATCAATCATATATGTGTATAACAATTATTGTTAAATCTAAAAAGTATTAATGTAATTGGAATTTTGTAGTTTTAGTTTTCTATATAATTATGTATAGTCATTCGCTGCACAGTATAAACCCAGTCTTTCAATTTTCGGCGAAATGTTTTTCCAAAATTAAGTATTTTTATTTCGTTTGGTACTACATTATATAATTTACCTGCTAAGAATTTAAATGATTTTTTGAATAATGTTTTGTGTGGTCTTTGGATATTAGACGAGCCTATTCGAAATCGTGTGTTATGCTCGTGTTTATAGGATTTTTTTTCATTACAATACTTATGGTATAAGGTGGTGGCATGTAAGAAATAAAGTTGCCTTGTATCAGGTATCCCTGTTTCCTGATATAAGTTGTTCTTCGGATATAATCTTGGCTCATGGAAAATGGCTTACAAAACAGTTTTTTGTGCTATATTCAGGTCAGAAATATATGTCTTGCAGGCGGCACCCCAGGCTGTGATGCCGTATATTATATGGGTTTCAACTAAGGCATGGTACAGGATTCGCAGAAAACTTTATGTAAGAATGTTAGCAAGCATTTTGAGTTTATAGGCAACATTTCTAATTTTTTTGATAACATATTTAATATGGTTATCCCACCTTAGATGTGAGTCCATAAATATTCCAAGATATTTCTATCGATTTTGGTCTTTTGGCCATGATAATTAACGGAAAATTGTTCGAAGGTAGGTAAAAATTTTGAATAGGATGTAAATGCAATAAATTTTGTTGTTTTTTTGAAGTTAACTGTTAAAATTTTAGTATCAGCCCAGTCAATGATCCTTATAAAATCCTTTTCAGGTATTTGCATCAGTGTGCTCCAGTCATCAGCTTTATATAATATGAGGGTGTCATCTGCAAAACATATAATCTTTCCAGAACTGTTAATTTTGAATAAGTCATTTAAGTAGAGACTATATAATAGTGGGCCTAGTACTGTTCCTTGAGGCACACCACACTTGATGTACATTTTTTTACTGTAATTGTTAGTGATTTTGACAGTCTGTGCCCGACTTGAAAGGTAATTTTTTAATAGGATTTGTGACGTTCCCCTAAATCCCAATCTTTCCATAACTTTCAGAAGCTCGACATGATTAACCGTAACAAAGGCATTTTTTAGATCAACAAAGATACCAACAGTAGGTATCTTTTTGTTGACATTAGAGTTAATTTCATCCATTGCAGCCAAAATTGCATTTGTAGTAGATTTTCCTTTTCTAAATCCATATTGGTCAGAACACATAAATTTTTTTTTTTGTCCAAAAATTGTAATATCCTTTCTTGTAGTAATTTTTCGAAAATTTTGGCTATATTCGATAGTACTGTTATGGGTCTATAATTCGATGTTTCCATTCTGTCACCGCTTTTATAAACAGGAATAATAGCAGTTGTTTTAAATGCATCAGGACAAATTACAGATTCGAAACAACAATTAATGACGTAAGAAAGTGGTTCGGCTAAGTCGCAGGCTATTATTTTTAAATGCTCAGCTTTGATACCATCTACACCAGGACTTTTTTTGGTTTTAAGTGATACGACAGCTTCTTGTACTTCAATCGGACTAACGCTTTCTAAAAAGAATGAATTGGGAAGTTGGGATGTTGGGAACATGTCGTTCGAAACCTTTTTTTTAATACTGGATGCTAATTTTTCTCCAACATTAGTGAAAAAATTTAAGAAGGCATCGGATATTTGTCGTTTATCTGTTAAAATTGTTCCATCACGATTCTTAATTTCATCAATATTTGGCTTCTCTTGAACGTCTTTGTTAGTTAAGTGATCGACAACTGACCACAGTTTTCTTGGATCACATTTGGCATCTTGTATTTTTTTTAGATAAAATTGGCGTTTTGCTTCTCTAACTAGATTGATAAAAATATTTTTATATTCATTATATTTACGGGAGGTATCTACAAATGGCGATGCTTTCATTATTTTGTATAGTTCCTCTTTTTTGTTGGCAGACTTTATCAAACCTTTAGTTATCCAGGGATTCCTGCTTCTGTCAAAATGTTTAATTTTAACTCTGTTAGTACTACATTCAATTAAATGTTTTATGCGTTCAATGAGTGTGTTTGCAGCAATGCCTGAAAATACGATCAATAGAGAAGGCTAACAGCTCGTGCTAAATATATTAATAATAATAATAATAATAATAATGGTATGGAGACTCGATCTGTTTACCTATTTCATATGGCATTGATGACATAACCACCAAGAATGGTGACTACAACTATATTCAAGTGAAACAACATGGAATTAGTAGTAGTAGCAATGAGGAGGTTTTTGATGACCCTGTGATACCAACACTGTACTACAACATAAGTTATCTACTGGTAATTGATTACTGAATAGCAATATAAATTTAAAATAAATATTGCTCCCACAAGTATTATATAAACAACACACAACACAACATCCATAGCACAGAATTAACTTCCGAGGTGGAGATTCAACAAAAAACGTTTTTTTGCTTTGACAACCTGTATCTTGGAATCCAGACTTTTAAGCACATATTATGTTTATATGAACTTTGCTACTTGAATTTTCAGTAATGGACAAAAGTATATTGTGCTATTTCTTTTTTAACTTACTTTATTAATACACCAACCTATATACATAAGTCATTATAGCATAATACTCACTTATACATAAATAAATTAAACTATAAATAGAAGATTAAATGATTTGAAGTTATTTGCAAGTCGCCCGAGTAAGAAGCCGCTAATCTCGAGGAAACGCCGTAAGGACCAATTACAATTTGCACTGTTGCATCTTGATTGGAGCATCTGTTACTGGAAGAGGGTATGTTTCAGTGACGAATTCAAGTTCAATATGTTTGAATCAGATGGTATTCATTATGTTAGATGTCCTAGTGGACAAAGATTAAACTCCAAGTACACTTTGCCCACTGTTAAACATGGAGGTGGGTCTGTTATGGTTTGGGGGTGCTTTTCGGATTTTGGAATGTGACCTTTACATAGAATAGATGGCATTATGGATAAGTTTGTATACACAGACATACTAAAGCATGTCATGTTACCCTATATGGAAGACAATATGCTCTTAAGATCAGTCTTCCAGAAAGATAATGATTCGAATACCAGTTCTCAATTGGCCTTCACAGTCTCCCAATATAAACCCCATCGAAATATGCAAATACGAGATAAACATTATTCATACAAGGATAAACTTTTTGCCGCTTTAGAGCAAAAGTGGACGATAGCAGGTGGTGATTGATACTAATGTTTATGCTACAAAATATTAACACAAACATGGTTGGTTTTCTATAATTCAATGAACTTTGCTTCTTTTTTCTATAACTGTTTTGCTTTGTCTATATATTTTTGCCCTTCATAGTTCCAGTTGTTTCAATTAATTTTTTAGTGAAGGGAGTCTAATGAATTTATTTATGTATAAGTGAGTATTACGCTATAACGAATTATGTATACAGGTTGATGTATTAATAAAACAAGTTAAAAAAGAAATACAGCACAATATTGTCTATATACTTTTGTCCAGTACTGTAGTTCATTTAGTTCATGAAGCCGCCATTGTAGTTACAGCCTATCATTAAGTATTATATTTCAAAGCAACAATAATAATGCAGGTCCTCTACATATTTCTAAGAACTCACCTAGTGCAGTGGCAGACTGATCAGTTATATGACTGATAAGCTGATTGAGGTAGACTTCATTTTTTATTTTAAAATCAGGTTCAAGAAGCTTCTGGAGAACCTTTTCAAGCTTTGGATTCACATTTAAATCCATTTTATTATCCTCACGCTAAAACATTCAAAAAATTCAAACTAATCATTTTCTATTATTAAGATGAATATATTGAAACAACACTTCTACTTTATGTATGATAAATGGTAAATACATCAAACTTGGAATGGAGACAATTTTTAAATAATACTAATTCACACAGACACAGGTAAGTCAACAGATGTATTACATCCAACATATAATAGTTTATTTATTAAATTATCCTATGCTGTAAATCAAAGCATGTTGATTACAGATTTTAACCTTGAAAAGTTGTAAGGTTACAAATAAGCAGATAAGCATAAGTGAAATTTATCAATGAATGGAATTAAATGAAAAACCAGTTCAAAGTATAATGTGAATTTTCATCACAACTCCAGATGTGACGGCCCGATGTGACTACAACCAAATGCCGATACGAAGATCCTTATTTAAATAAACAAACATTCATCTATCCTTACAGTGGGCAGGTACCTACATAGATCTACTGATAAACATGCTTACAACAGTTGCAGTTGGTGAAAGCTGTTTTATTAGAACATATAAAACAATTTATATGTACCATTCAATATTCATATCCCACAGTAAACTATACAAAAGATCAAGCCTCAAAAACCTGATCAAAAACAAGCACACCACCTCGTCTGTATTAATAGTAGTAGGATTAATTGATATTTTTTCAGCAAAGCACAAACAGCAATACCTCATGCGATACGAAGCTATCAGCTTTAACCATATAAAAAAATATCTAACTAGCGTCCAAAGTTTCCACACGAATTTGCATTTGCACAGATTATTACTCTCTGCCAAAAGACATATGTTTTGGACAGTTCGACACAAAACACACAACGGGATCTCGCGAAAAAATCTATACAGGGACAGGGCGTGCTTCTGTGGTCAGGTGATCAACCACTTCTTTCTTGATTGGATGATTTAGCAGCTATATTCCCACGATACACATACACTGAAGATAGGATATTGCGCATGTGAGCGGATCTTCGTGACGTCACCCGGCGAGTTATCGGCTCGTGGTTACCAGCGGCAGGATTGTCCTAACCTAACAATACTGCAGTTCACGTGTATCGTGGTTAACACGTTAACCGCCATGACACCTGACACTTGGGTTTCAGAACTTGTGTACTTGTGTACTATCGTGTACATTAAAGCCTGTAACCCAACTGAAGTGCTTCAAAACGCATTAACTTATATGAGAACTGTTATAGAGCGGCCTGGCGGGTAATATTGCTGAATGAGCCCGGCACTTCCACGATATTTTCTTTATCGGTGAAGATTTCTTCTAATAATGCTATGCAGTTATAAAAACACTTTTTTATTTTAGCGATGTAATACAAACAGTGGCTACTAGTTATAAATAATAATTGCAATATCAAAAAACATAGCAAATGATTGCAACTAGTTATAAAGAATAATTATGATCATCAAAAAAACATGACAAACAGTAGAACTTATTGCATATATCGCAAAAAAATTTTGACTTAGGTCCCTTCTTCTGAGCGGCTTTCCTGCATTCTTCAATACTTATTTTCGCATAACATGCTACACATTTTCGTAGGTCTTTTGAAGCAACTTCCTGCAAAACATGCTTTCTGGTTTCATTTTCTGTCTCCTCCCTGACAGTCACCTCTTCGATTTGTAACATACCAAGGGTAATTTTCTGTCTGAATTCTGTTATTGATATTTTCGCTTTCGTCACAGTTTTATACAATATGAAGGCGTTGACTACAGCTGATCCAAGTAATATTTCAAAGGCTAATTTCCTGTACCGCTTTACGCCTTTACGTAAAGGCCAACAATATGATTTCAGCTGATCTGATAGATCTATGAAAGACTTACACGAGTTATAGTCAACAACAAGAGATGGTTTTTCTAATTCTGTTCCTCTCCGTGTATATTTAGTGGTTGTCTCAGTATGTACAGTGCTCAGACAAAGAATATCACGTTTATCGTGCCATTTCAAAACAACCACCCCTTTTGTAACTCATGGGCCAAGGCGACACTAGTGTAGTAGTTGTCGGTGTATAAGATCCGTCCGTGGTCTAAAAGTGGCTCCATTAGTGACAAAACAGTCGAAACTGTAGCAGGTTTCTCTGAATTTTTATCTTTTCCGCAGTATACTTTGATATCGTATGTATAGCCATCTTTACAACATAATTTGTACAGTTTTATCCCGAATTTGAACCGCTTATTTTTGATATACTGCCTGAATAACCTGCCTCTGAATAGTACTAGTGTTTCATCTATGCAGACAGATTTCTCCGGAACGTAAACCTCTTTGAATTTATTGGTCAAGTTTTCTAATAGTCGGCTTAGTTTTCCCAGTCGGTCATTTTTATCAATAATTTCGTTATCGTTGAAATGTAGCACTCTGACGAGTAATTCAAATCGATTTCTGGACATTTTACACGACACCTTATTGCTATATAAGGGATTCTTGGACCAGTAATCCGTCATTTTCGGCAACCTTGCTAGACCCATATACATTACAATTCCAAAAAATGTCGTAATTTCAACCCTGTTTGTATCTCTCCACCTGTGTAAGCGCGAGTTTACTGCCAAAGGTTTGTTTTTGCATTGTCTAGCATATCTATTGGTCTCTAGTACAATCAAATCCAGAAGTTCGTCACTGAGAAATATCTTGAAAAAATCATACGGTGCCTTGGTAATAAAGTCCTCAGATATCTGTGTAGTAACACCGACATGATGTAAATCAAAAATGAACTTTTATAAATGAGAGCCGGCCAAAGGAATCCAGTGTAGTTCATCATGCAGAGGATCTTCATCGCTTTCATTTTCACTATCTATAAGACAAAACTGAGCTATAACTTCATCGATGACTTCATCAATAGTGGACTGACGTTGTTCTTTTTTGGTATGATGTTTGCATCTCTAGAAGTAGAAGGTTGCGGATCGCGATGATTGCTCCCTAGGATAACCGTAGGCATTTCAACATTGTTTGATCTGAAAGGAAAGATTATGTATGAGTATATTTTTCAAAATATATAATAATTGACTGATGCACTAAGCACAGGACAAAAAAGTCAGCACATTTTCTTGTCCACAATAAGGTTATATTTACCTTTTAGTCTTTTTTCTAGGATTTATTTCCTGCCAAGAATCGTCAGTTTCACTATCTGTACTAGGATGAATTATATTGGACCTCGAGGAATTTACAGATGTTGCAAAGTCACTGGTGGATAATGTCAGTACTGGGTTGTTCATCTGAAGACCATCATTAGATTTCTTAGATTTGATAGATAATCTAGAAATTGCAAAGTCTTAGTTGGGAGCATTATGAAGCAGAAACCACACTTTTATAATAATAATAATTTACCTTTTAGCTTTCTTCTTCCTGGGTTTCAATTGCAATGAGCTTGTGTCGGAGTCAACATCTGATGATGAATGACTGGGCAAGTAATCGTCTGAAGAATTGTCCATGAGCTCTGATGGTCCTTGTTCCTCTTCGTCTGATAGCAGCTCATTCTACAATTTCATAAGTCTCATTTGCTCCTTTTCATATGTGCCCGTCATTTTATTTTATAGCACAAATCACAACTCAAATTATTTTATTCACAACCAAGCCTTACTATTCGGCGCGCTCTCAACAATTGGACTGGAAACTACATGAAGCATCTGCATTTCTAGCATACGGAGACTTGTTAGAACTTAAAAAAATGACACCCGACATTTGGGTTTCGCGGCGCTCAGTGATCGGGGGATCTGAAACCCATAAGTCGGGAGTCATTTTCAAAATATATTTTTGGGACATTTTCTAAGACTAACGTCTGATAACATCCAGCACATCATATCCAGAGTAAAAATTAAGTACTTCCTAAAAAAATTATGTTTGGCCTGGGGGTAGAATATTTTTTGCTTCATTTGGGCGATTAACGTGTTAATACTATACTTTGAAGTTGAGTCATTAATTTTCAGATAATGATTGTAGAAGGAAGATAAACCAAAATATGTGTGTAAAAATAAAAAAAAAATTAAAAAAAATGTTTACCTTGTTTTATAAAGTATCCTCCCGACAAGTATTTCAGTGCGGACCTGTATTTGATCGTGAGGTCTTGAAGCACCGGCATGCCGTCCATATGTGAGGTCTTAAGTCAAATGATTCACGAACCCGTTGTACTACGTTAACAAAGGCACGAGGGGTTGGTTGCACTCGATTGGGAAACCGATCCGCATAAACATGTGCCATTTTTTATTTCGTTTGAGCCACGCAACAGACACCACTATCCACTACCGACTGACACTGACTGTATACGACTGAATGAAATAATTGTAAAAACATCGTTCCAAATTCTTTCGCTTTTTTGTTTCCGATGCGATGAACCGATAAGGCGAATTATATCCGTTGTCGCCAAACACGAGCACATAATATTATTATTGAGACAGGGCGGTACTCAAACTTCCAAAGGGCTATAACTTTGTTACTTTAATTTTACCAGAAAAATGGTAAAGGAAAAAAACATTTCTTTTGATCAGACCTACTCACTGTTAAAATAAATGACTCAACTTCGAAGTCACCCTGTATAGTAGTATATACCTAGTGCGATTTGTTGGTGTTTATTGGTGGTTTTGCGACTTGTTGTATTAGTTATACATACCTTACCTTATATACCCTGTGTGGTTGATACATTGATAAAAATGCGGTGTGCTGTTGTGGGATGTAATTCCGACAATCAATTTAAACGGAATCTTTGCAAAGCCATGAAGTTCCACAGTTATCCTCAAGACCCAAACTTTAGCAAAAAAAAAATGGCCAGATCTCACAAAATAATAAGACAAAGTCAATGTAAAAAGCGCTAGGGTTTGCTAGAAAATGCTCTAGAGGATCTGAAACGACGCTTCAGCGTCCAATACCTGTTAACAAGACGTCTTAATCAAGATGTCATAGAAAACTTTTTAGAAGTAATTAGGGCAAAAGATGGTCTTCATGACCATGCATGTCCTCTAGAGTTTAAGTATAGAATAAGGTCATATATATTGGGGCGAAACGAAGGCGCATACTCAGAGGTTGAAAAGTTTCTCAAATGAAACTTATTCATGGATAGACCATCTTAAATGAGAATGGATTATCAAAACCTTCCGCAACTTTCATGAATCAAATTGAGAAGCTGGTATTCACTACATTCAATGGGGACGGAATAGTAACAAAAAAGCAAAATTTCATAGGTGAACATCTGTTGAAGAGCGGCAAAATTGACTGCCCTGAGAAAGTTAAAAAACTGTTTTTCAGGCCAGGATATTCTTCCGGATCAAAGAACTGAATAAAAGTTTGAAAGGCCAGAAAAATCGTAAAAGGAAATTGAAAAAAAATGTTGCTTAGACTAAGTCATTTCCATTTATTGTTATACCACCACCTTAGTGCAAAAAGAAGATAACTCCATTTTTCTACTTTTCGAGTTGCGTACATTTTCACACTTACATGTACTTGGATGTTCTGTGGAATAAAGATAAATCTAGTACAGTATTATGAACATGTTAATCCTGCTCCATAGAACATACTAAACTATAGGTAATGTATAAAAATGGAGAGTTATCTTGTTTTTACAGTGAAGAGACGGGTAAAAATATGCACGCTATCCATATCAACCCAAATGATAATCACTCTCCGCGTGACGTCATGCGCGCCGGCGGACGAAAATCGAACAGCGGAGCATACGGCTCACATTCCAATATTAACAAGAAGTTTTTTTTTCAATTTGACAACTGTCAATTGTGTTGTGTTCTGTGCTGTGATGACATAACCTTAACCGTACTTTTAACTTTTAGTAAAATCACCTAAATATTCATGTTTCAAAAATCATGAAAAACGTAGATAACAAATTAATGTGTTCTGTATACTAAAAAAATTAAGCTTCATGTAGCTCAAATAAGATCAAAACATGGATACCAATACAGAAGACATTGGTCTTTCTACTGCTGATGCATTAAAAATACTTCATTTAGAAATAAACACTGTTTTACTTCATTACGAGCGATCTCAAAATAAAAGGTAAACCTTAATTTTCAAATTCATTCAGTTGTTTAACACTCACATATTTTCAGCAAAGCAAATTTATGGATCAAAGATGCATTATGTATTAAAAGCCAACACACAACATTGAATGTAATCTCTCTACTCTTTGGCATTTGTGCAGTGGTATCACTTATTTGTGCTCATCTGCTAGATATAGATAATATTTCAGGCTATGAAGCTATACATATTTCACTATTACTTATCTCAGATGTATCTCTTGAAATATATGATAACAAACTGAGGCATAATGAGATATTAAATAGAGTAACATCAATCTTAGAAAGGTTGCTATCTGAGCTTCCAAATATCAAATGGAATTCTGAGAATTATCCTGATCTCTGTGCTCCTTTTTCACCATGTATCACCTCACAGTGGGCTTATCGGGATAATAAGTTGGTCAATGTGCCATGGGCTTTGTTAGTGAAGGGAGATGTTATCTTGATGAGACCAGGTAAGCAAATACTGCTTGTATAGGTACATCTAGAGCAGTCTTTCTCAAAGCAGGCAAAAATGCCCTCTTTTGGATGCTGGAACCTACTGCTGGTGGTAAAGAGCCTAGAGGAAATTGGGGAGAAGTGATGAATCGATTTGTGAGGTATATTTAAATTGAAGTAATTTCAGGAGGTGCTAGAAAATAATTGGTCATCTCCAATGTGGAGGAATGCTCAAATTCATTGGTATTGCATATGACCTGTGGCAGGGAACATTTCATCACAAGCCTATGAATTAAAATACATTAGAACAGGCATCAAGTAGGTTGACTCTGTACTCCCCATGTAATTCTGTAATGCATTCTGATTATTTGATTTGATTGAACACCATATTAATTAAGATTTAAAAGAAATCAATTGAAGTAAATAAATATGAGACATAAAGTTACCATATTTGATGGAAAGCTCATTCAAAAGAATTTGAAAAACAGAACTTGATTAGATATGTTTGGTTAACTAAAAAATATGTACACCAATTGTTTTACAATAAAGTCATTTATTTTTATTATATTATTAGTAGCAGAAAGATTTATTTAGCACATTTGGCTACAAAGACAGAATAATTGTATATTGTAAAACTTAGTTTTATATTCAGCAATCGAATAAAATTGATGATTGACAGTCATATTGGGAAAAAAATATCAAAAAGTACAAAAAGAATATATAAACAAAGTAGAGTATTCAAACACCTAAGATAAATAAAATATAGCGGAGCTAAATTGAGAAAAATAAAGCGTAAGATAATCAGAGCAGTAGATCTGCAATGTAATTCTTTAGAAATTCATTGTATGTGTAAAAAGTTTTTTCAATCAGGTAATTCTTCATTTCATGTACGGACTAGGTAGTGGAATTTTGTTTTGTTTTAAAAGTGGTTCTACATGGCTCTGTATATTTTAAGTGATTTATTTTTTGTTTTTTTTTCAATTTTAAATAGAAAGCTTGTTTGTCCTTGGCGTAGTAATAACCTTATGTCAAAATTGCATCAAAACCCGACCAGTACTTACTAAGCTATAAAACGACCAAGGATTAGCGGACAGGCAGACAGACCGACAGAAATAAGTGATATGATTGTTTATGGACATATCAAATTCAACATTCAAAAAACATATCTCATTTTTCTCGATTACACTACTGCCTCTCCAATTGGCGTATATATAAGGTAAAAGCACTGAAAACAGCTAAGGTGTATAATTGCTGTGACAGTTACATCTTTATATTTATCTTTAACAAGAAAATTTCTACAAAAATTTGTATGATCATCTACTCTGATGGAGGGATACATAATATTACAATTAAGCTCTATATAACACTTTAGTTAATAATTATACCCTCAAGAAGAGCGCTTCATATTTAGCAAGGAATTTTTCATGCCTAGTGAATAACCCAAGTCTAATATTCATACCAACAGACTATGTGATTATGTTTAATGTGTTACCAACTAGCTACAGTACATTGAAATTTGTTAGTGGAAGTATTTATTATTTAATTATTATGTCACTCATAAGAAATGAATGATATATGTATAGGTACTTCTGAAGCTAAAGCTTCTGAAAATTATGACAGAATTCACATATACATGATAAACAATCTGGGCTTTGAACTCTTTTCAAAACTAATACCACTAGACAAATAATGCTCCATTATAAATGTCTGTCGTGATATGAAAGCTAATTTGTTGCTTGAAAGCACAAAATACTGACATACATACAGTATGTTACCATTGATACTACATAATCAAGCATCTCAAGGAGTCGCATCAATGGCTAGGTACTAGGCTTCTCTTAAAGCTACTTTCCAAGCTATTTGCACTGTCTATAATTGTTACATTCTACGAAGGATGTCTTTTTAAGTTTTGCATATAGAAACACAGTATGCCGCGCGGATCGAACGTCAGTACTGAACCATAACCTCACTTTTTAGTAAACTTGAGTTTCACAACAATATGTTCTCACTACAGTGAATTTTTAAGCGTCACCAAGTCATTATGCCCTCTCCAGACTCACGCGCGATTCGCGCGCGAAGCCGCGAACTACCCGCGATCCATGAGTGTGGATCCCATTCGCGTATTATTCGCGGCTTCACGTCGCGTTCGCGCGTTGTTCCCGTTTGTTGGTGGTTCAGTTGCCTCATAGCGAGTGTCGGGAGTGGTTGTGTTTTTTCCACTTATTTTCAATTGCTCTAGTTTTACTTATATATGCGTAATTATAAAATGCCAAAGCGCAAAGTAGCACTGCAGCAGCAGTAGCAATTTCACCATCCATACTCGTCAAGACCGCGAACTATACTGTGAAGCAGGCGCGAACATCTGCGAGTGTGGAACTGTAGGAAGAAATTTCGGGATTCGCACCGCGATCCGAGCCGCGATTTCACGCCGTGATTCGCGCGTGAGTCTGGAGAGGGTATTAGAAAAATGGAACTAAACCGAGAATATTTTCGCGCCATAATTTATCGCAACAAGAATGCCTTGCTGAGTTACTGTCTGTTTTCGGCAACGAAGCGCCACATCAGTCGACAATTTCCCGTTGGTATGGAGAATTGAAATGTTGGCTGGTGAGTCTTAGCAACGATTCCAGGGTGGGTGCACCAAAAAACGGCACTCACCCAGGAAAACGTCGATGCTGTGCGCAAACTCATAATTGAAGATAGATATGTGACATATAGCGAGATTGAGGCGTCCTTGAAGATCTTAAAGACCTCAATTCAAAAAATTTTACATGAAGAATTAGGAATAAGAAATTAGTTTCTCGTTTGATACCCCACCTGTTGACTGAAGAGCAGAAAGCAGCCAGGGTTAATTGGTGTCAAAAAAGGCTTGACCGTTTCAATTTCGGAAACTCAAAAAATGTGTACAGCATTGCTAGTGATGATGAATCGTGGATTTACTATTATGAACCAGAAAATAAACGACAGTCGGCTGTTTGGGTGTTCCAAGGTGAAGAAAAGCCAACAAAAGTCATCCGTTCTCGAAGTGTTTCGAAAAAGATGGTCGCGACATTTGTGTCAAAAGCGGGTCATATTGCAACAATTCCTCTTAATTAGCAAAGAACTGTTACTGCGGATTGGTATAGCGCCATTTGTTTGCCAAAAGTCATCACCGGGCTTCGAAAAATCAACCCCGAAAGAAAAATCATCCTCCACCAAGACAATGCAAGCTCGCACACAGCCCAAAAAACAAGGCAGTATTTAATGGAAGAAAACGTGGAATTATTGGACCATGCTCCATATAGTCCCGATCTAAGCCCTAACGATTTCTTTACTTTCCCGAAAATTAAAAACAGACTGCGTGGTCAAAGGTTCCAGTCACCAGAAGAAGCAGTTGACGCATTCAAAAATGCCATTTTGGATCTGCCAGCAAACGAGTGGAATAAGTGCTTTGAAAATTGGTTTGAGCACATGTAGATGTGTATTAATCTTCATGGAGCATACTTAGAAAAACAATAAAGTCATTTAAAACTGCCTACCGTGTTGTTTTATTTCCATATGCAAAACTTAAAAGACATCCCTCGTATATATTACCACGAATACTATTCACAACTCGAGCAACATAGTAAATGACAACACTTAACCTGGTGTTGCTTAGTAAGTAACAAAACTAAATATCCTGACCTCAAGTTTTCCAAATGGCTACAGCACTAAGCAGGCAGTACTGAGCCAATGTCTGTGTTGCCATATACAGGGTTATCCAAATTAAGTGTCCACCATTAGTAACTTTGTTATTAGTGAAAATACAAAGTTGTTTGAATTAGCAAACTAGTAGCATTTTTAACGCTGGTAAAAATGAGAAATAAAAAAAAACAATTGAGAGTCGTTATTTTGATTTTTTTCAGTAAAATAACATTTTTTTAAATGGAAACCCCTGTATATTATATTTTTTTCTGTTAAAGCATCAAATTTTAAACAAAAAAGCTTACAATAACTTTTCTCCTAGGTTACAAATTGTTGAAGTTATGGCCTCCAATCTGAAACAATTAAATTGTATCGACAAACTTTATTTTCAACATCAACTTATAATCTTACAAAATACAATAACAATTTTTTTTAAAGAAGATGCTCGAAAACACCACCTTGTTCTTCAATACATTTTTGGGCACGTTTTTCAACTGCTCGAACTGTCTTAAGTATGGTCCTACCATCTATCTGGGTTATCTTTTCCCTAACTGCAGTCTTTAACGCGTCAAGGTTATCGTACCTTCGCTTGTAAATTTGGTTCTTTAAGTAACCCCACAAGAAGTAATCAAGTGGGTTTAGATCTGGTGATCTGGGAGGCCACTGTATTGGGCCATTTGTTCCTATCCACTGATCATTAAAAGTAGTACCTACTTAGAAAATGATAAGTACCTCTGGAGTTGTGGGCAGGTGCGCCATCTTGCTGAAAATGCAGATGATGTCTACTTATAAGATCCAATTCGTCTAAGAAATTAGTCAGAATTTCTGACATAAATTCCACATATCTTTCACCAGTTAGGGTTCCCTCATAAAAGAACGGGCCAACAATTTTTGAACCAATTATACCGCACCAAACGTTGAAACTGAAACGGACTTGTGGGCCTCTTGGATGTACTAACAAAAGATTTTCTCTTGACCAATAATGGTGGTTTTTTCTATTAAACATTCCAGAATTTGAAAAATTTGATTCATCTGTCCATAAAAGGTAACGAAAGTTATTTACATTTTGGCGACAGAAGCTAAGATACCAATGGCAAAAAACAAGTCTTCTCTCTGGATCCCCTGCCAAAAGCGTTTGAACTGGTCGGTACTTATACGGAATAAATTTGTATTTTTTTAAAATCCTTTGAACAGTACCATAACTGAAATTAGAGTCCTTGAGAATATCTGCTATTGAATTCTCACGATAAGCTTCAAAATATCCAATAACTGCAATTTCCGTGGCCTCGCTTATTATGAATTCTTTTTTTGCCCTTGTTTTAGCAAAAACATTTTCGTTGCCCCTAAATTTTCGATAAAGTCTCAGAAAATATCGTTCATACGGTTGAATGCGAGCGGGATATAATTCACTGCTCTCAAGGAGGATTTTCTGCACACTAAATAGCATTCTAACATATTAAACGTTTCTTCATGGGAGAACATTTTTCTTTAAATTAATGACACAATAAAGCTTATAAACAAGTATTTACACTAATGTTTGACATTATTTGATTTTATCATTGTTTTCCAAAGCCTTCTAGTTGCGAGTATGTCCAGTTTAACAATTTGTCGCTTATCTTAATGCTTTCAAATCGCGAACGCCATGTTGTTTTCATAGCCGTCTTAATATTATAATACTGCAAATAATTAAAAATATTTATCGTTATTTTGACTTTAGCGGAAAAGTCATTATGAACTTTTTTGTTTAAAATTTGATGCTTTAACAGAAAAAAATATAATATACAGGGGTTTCTATTTAAAAAAATGTTATTTTACTGAAAAAAATCAAAATAACGACTCTCAATTGTTTTTTTTTATTTCTCATTTTTACCAGCGTTAAAAATGCTACTAGTTTGCTAATTCAAACAACTTTGTATTTTCACTAATAACAAAGTTACTAATGGTGGACACTAAATTTGGATAACCCTGTAGACTCAATTTAATGTTTTAGTTCTTTAGTATTTGTGACACCAAATTCTTAGGGTCCCCAAATCCGATTTTTCTCTAGGTCAACCCAGTCCTGGTTATTGTGAAGCAATAGACAAACACTCGGAACATCCATTGCTGCATGCCAAAGAAATTTACGCTCCTCAAATACACAGTGCAAATGAGATATTCAACACTCCAAAGTCTCGAAAACCAGTGGAACCAAAACCGTACAGACTTCTAGAAACCCCTTATTTGAATAATCTCAGAATATACATGGAACAGTCTTTGGATAGACCAATCACTCTACTCAATCAGCAGAGACATCTAGTCATGATCAGGCTTATAGAAAGGGTGATCTTACCAGTCACATTTGTATTGATTATTTCAATGAATCTATTCAGGTTTTTCTATTTTCAAAAATATATTGGGAATTATTTGTTGTCAAACATGTTGTTCATTGTACCTGCAAATATTATACTGCCATTGCTGCCATTGGTTTTTCCATTGTTCTGGAATATAACCAACTACATTGGAATCGCAAGGTACGTTATTGCACTTTGTTACAAGAAAATGACGTAACACAGGGACATTTTTATCAGAAGAGCTGGCAGCTTAAACCCTTGTGATTTTTTTGTTGTTGAAGATGAAATTATATACAAACATTGATTAACATATTCACTAAGAAGATGCCCGATTATTTACAATTTTGATGTTCACAAGTAGTATCTCAGTAATCCTCTTCATTTTCCTTTTAGTGAATTTTGCTTATTCTTAAACATTACATCAACATATCTAAAGAAAGATCACCCATCTACATCCCTCGTAATTATTACTAAGATTGCGTATTTTCAGAGTTTCTCAACGGCGGAAATGAGATGCCCATAACTTGCGGCAACAGTTCAAGAGGTTTGCAATGGTACCTACAGCTCGTCAAGTGTAGGAAGAGATATGAGGATTTGCTGGGGTTGCGCATACGAGAGAGGGAGAACGCATTCGGAGCCAAAGAGATGACACATACAATACGTGCCATTCGATCTCGAGTGGTACAGTTTGCGTCCTAAATTAATCGAATAATTTCAATAATGGAATACGTATTATGTGAAGCCTGCTTTTTAATCGAAACTTTTGGCATGTGTGAAATTTTTAAATATCGTTTTGTGAGCTCAATATTCTAAATTTGGTAACTTCATTAACGTTACAGGACTAAGTTCTATCATTGTCAGCATCTATTCCCAGGAGTATTTCATGTGGCTCAATAACGCTTAGAGAAAATTTGTTCAATGGGTCGAATTTATGTGCATTATAAAATTGAGTTTGAGAGTATATAATATACAATTAACGAATCTATATCATTAGGATATCTTAAAATACAATTGTACGTCCACCAGAAGCATTAACAAATTTATATCTAAAAAAACAAGTTTTATGTACTACTTTTTCAATATTTCCAAAATTGTCTAATACATTAGTTTTACAAAAATAGTTTTATGTTTGCACACCTGTTTGCTACCGAAGAGAGGTTAAAAATCGTATTAATGAGATTATTTATATAAATGAGATAAACTTATATATAAGGAAACCAAAACAATTTATTCTATAAAATAAGTATTGCACGCTATGTATGTATAAGACTGATATTGATTGGTTCTTGTTCTATTTTTAATTGTTGATTTCAATTAATCAACAATCAAATGAAAAGTAAGGTCGGGAAACTAACATCATAGTAGATACAGTCACAGAGGATCAAATCCTGAAAGTTCGGAATCGGAATCTGAGCTACTACTTAAGCTTAAATCTTCGGTTTCGCTATCGCTATTTTCGTCTAGGTTTAATATTATTTGATCCACAACTAAGTCGAGTGCTGGTTCCATTTCCATATTCTGCTTTTCAAAACTTTTGGCATTCTCACATCGCTTTTTTCATTCTTTTGTGGGATAACACTTAACGAGCTGTATGTTTATTTTGGCACAGGCACGACTTTTAATTAGATTGGGTATCTTCTGATGTAATACGTTAGTCAATGGTATAAATTTGCTACAAACACAACTAAATGAGAGAATTCAAAACCAACCAAATAACTACACCTTACATATTTTTTTTAAATAAAAAAATACAGGAGACAGTTTGGAGCAAAGCAAATTATGTTTTGATTGCTTGCCTTATCGGCACATGCCGCAAACTGAAATGTTCGCGACACATGTTGCGATCCACAGTCGTCGATTCATTTTTATCCACGCCGCTTGTTCCGCAACATGTATCAGACTGTTCCTATTCCAACAAACTGGCATATGTGCGGGCCATGACACAGCATATGTCGAAGAACAAATTTGTGATAATAGAAACATACTTTGAGCGGTATTTCCTGTATTTTTGTAGTCCAAAAATCACGAGGCTTAGATGTTGCCGGCTCTTGAGGTAGAAATCGTCTTTATACATGTTTTGTAGATTCAAAACAATATTTGATGCTACTACAAGATGTGAAGCAAAGGAAAATTTATTAGAAGAGGATGGTGATAATACTACGATAGACCAAATTGAGCTTAGAATAAGTGAAAGAGAAATCTGGAAGAACTTTTTAGATATAATCAAAGGCAAACCAGAGATTCTAATAAGATCCACTAATATTCTACATGTACTTGGATCAGTAACTGTAGGTATTTTATAAGTTCTTGTGAATAAATTTTGAGTCAGAGTATCTTTCAGGCTTTAGGATGTGTCGATAAGAAAGGACTTCTATCGTGGCCAAATCCAACAGCTGAAAAAGTATTTTTTCTGCATAATCAGGAAAATGAATCATCATCTTCAAGGTAATATGCATCTTATTATTATTCTATGTATCTCACTAACGAAGAATGTACCCAGAGAATTGGATGTGAAAGAACGCATATGTTCAAACTGGTAATACAGGGTGTAAATGTTATGGTAGTCATTATTGAAATGGGTAATACGGGGGGGTCAAAACAAGGCAAAAAGTTCATATGACCCATGGTACAAAAGTCAATAGATTTTTGTCTAACTGGCTTTATAGTTTGCAACTTTAAGTGCTTTACATCGACCACAATCTTACTAATTTTTATAATCTAATCTAAAACGTTTTTAAATTAGGTAATTAATGAATAAATGGCATTAAGTTTTTTTAAGTTAAGCCAAAATTTGTAGTCGGTAAGTAAGTAAGTTTCATTAAATTGAATATTTAAAAAACACATGACAACAGCGCGTTTGTCATCATCACTCTTATCGAACCGGCAATCGATCGCAAACGGAAACAGTGGTTACTAGGTTGTTTTGTTTTTGTTCGCGTACATCGTCCTGTTGATTGATTTACAATGTTCTCGAATCAAGAGTTCGCCGACATGTTAGTTTACGGTGAAGCTCGTCAGAATACAAATCTTGCAGCTCAAATTTATTGCGACAGATTTCGCCAACGGGTACACCCAGTCAGACGGACATTTGTGCAAGTGTACCAAAGACTTCGAGATACAGGAAGTGTTCAGACCACTAATATTCGTACTCATGAAGGAAAGGTTACTGTAGAACAGGAGTAACAAATTTTAAATGTCGTGGAAATCAATGCAGATATCAGCACTCGTGAATTAGTCCGCCGCGTAGGACTATCGCATACCATAGTCCACAGAATCCTACGGGAAAATTTGCTTTATCCCTACCATGTACAACGAGTGCAGGCCTTGTTACCAGAAGACTATCCTCTCAGACTTACATTCTGTCAGTGGTTTTTGCACAAACACATTGAAAATCCGGAATTTTTTAAAAACATTCTAGCGACGGACGAATGTACTTTTACGCGAGAACGGGATATTAAATTTCCATAATACTCACACGTGGGCAAGAAAATCCTCATACCATTCGTGAAGGTCATTTCCAACAACGTTTTAAAATCAATACTTGCGCGGGTATTCTTGGCAGTCAGGTAATTGGCCCTCTCGAGTTACCCCTAAAGTTGTAAGGAGAAAGATACCTTAGCTTTCTAGCCAATAACCTACCAAAACTTTTGGAGCAAACCTTAAACAACATGCCATACAACGGAGACAGAATTTGTGGTTTCTTCATGTCGGGGCACCACCACACATTTTTAGAGGCGTCATTCAGTATTTGATTGAACATTATCCAAATCGCTGGATCGGTCGAAATGCTCCTGTTCCTCGAAAATGACCAGCAAGATCTAATGACCTCAATCCGATGGATTTCTGGTATTGGGAAGAACTTAAAGGGATGGTTTATGGGGCTGGTCCAATAACAACTGAAGCACAACTTCGCGAAAGAAATTTTAATGCGGCTGAAATAATAAATGGACAACTTCGAGGACGTAGAGTAAGAAGAAACTGAGTTCGTCGTAATGAAGCTTGTGTGGAAAGTGGAGGACGACATTTTCAACACATTCTTTAAATACAAAAAAGGAGCAGTGTGGGTTTTAAAAAGAAAAACAATGTATGTATCAAAATTGTGTTCCCTATTTATAAGTGGATTTTTTTAATACGTTCAATAAACTTTCACACACCAGGTGAATTGCTGAGACAGTTCGTTTTTTTTTTAATTGTTTGCATTTTACGAGTACATTATCAAATAACGAAATAATACCTAAGAGCCAAAAATAACAAACTCCATCTTTATTTACACTGCGTTCTGTCGTAATTTGCGTCTGGTACTGCGGCGTTGTCAGATTTTATTTTACTTTGAACTCGCTTTTCTCTAAAAAAATGCCGTTTTGACCCCCATGTTATATGAAACTTTGCTTCTTTTAACCCCCTCTATCACCCATTTAAATAATGACTATCATAATGCTTACATCCTGTATAAATTACAAGTAAAAAACTGATCAAAAACCATGATTGTCTCTGTAGTATTACTAGTTATGCGATAACAGTGGACTTGTTGGTGCAGCTAGGTACTGAGATAATCTAATATGTTTTGTCATATGATCAGCTATTGAACTACTTTAAATAAAAATTGCAAAGCATTGGTATTATAAGCCTGCTTTTTTCAGCTCGGCATCTGAAGATGACGGATCTCCTCCATACGACTGTTATGTCTCGCCTTCAAGAAATACCGAAAGTCCTGGAGGTGGAGCCATTGTCGAAGTCCTTGATCTAACCCATGATCATGCTGATCCGTTCAAATTACGTTTTGATGATCACGATTGGTCGCGGTATTTACCTTCGCTCAAGCCACTTGGACTTGCCATACTTCTTAATACTTGCAATGTAGAAACTCAGGTAAACTTAAAAGTCTAGTTAATACACACTTGCCGTTTCTGCTACTATACTTTAAGTAAAATACGCCAAATACCTCATATTCTTGTCGAAATTAAAGGACGGAAGTGGCTATATGGAAAAATGAGATAGAAATATGACGGTTCGAATGCACTAAAATGCAATAGCTTCGTTTCTGTATTTTTCTCTAAAAATGGTGGTCAAATGTAACGAAAAAATGTTTTTGCTCGTATATTTGAAATAGCTTTTTACGAAATATATTTATATGAGAATTGTGTAAATTTTTACAGACATACTCAGAGCTAGCCGCCATCAATCAATAAATTAATGAAAAAGTGATTCCAAGAAAACTGTTAGAATGTAGATTAAATCACAACGATGTTTTAAAAATTTTATAATATTATACAATATGAAAAAAAAAACTCTTAGACTACGTTTTGATTATACACTTACATGTATCACTCAGGTCGCTATAAAAGTCCTAAAGAGTTGTACGTAGTCATGCCATAAGTTCTGTCCCTCGTTTTCAAACAAGTGTAGACCTGTTAATACTTGTCCGATTGTTTACATTGTGGTGTCAGTTGATTAAGCGCTTTTCGGGTAATTACATATACCTCAGTTTGTATTGATCTCTCGAAGCATAACGATGGAGTGGGGCAAGGCAGAGAACCGTATTGCAGTGATAGCTTTACATAAGTGTAATCACAGTGCTAGTCAGATTTTTGAACTCTTACGCGGCCTTCAAATATCGCGTAAATTTGTGTCTAGGACCATTCAGCGGTACAATGAGACGTCCTCTGTTGATGACAGGCCAAGAAGCGGAAGACCTCGTCAAGTAAGGACTCCAGCAGCCATCAAAGCCGTAAAAGCCAGGATTCAAAGGAATCCACTCCGGAAGCAGAAGATCCTATCCAGGGAAATGAAGATTCCTGTCCGGACGATGTCGCGCATCATTAAACAAGACCTAGGGCTAGGGGCTTACCGGAGACGTACGGGCCAGCGACTTACGGCCACCTTGCGACACATCAGGGCGACAAGATCCAAGAAGCTCTTGGAGAGGTACGCAGCTGGGGGATTCCGAAAGATTTTGTTCACGGATGAGAAAATCTTCACCATAGAAGAAAAATTCAACCGACAAAATGACAAAGTGTATGCAAGGAGTTCACAGGAAGCTTCGGAGATCATTCCGAGAGTTGAGAGAGGCCACCACCCTGCGTCAGTCATGGTTTGGTGGGGGGTGTCCTACGAAGGGGTCACTCAGCTCCATTTCTGTAAACAGGGCGTGAAAACAAAAGCGGCAAACTATCAGAGCGACATACTGGATCCTATCGTCAAGCCTTTAAGTGGTACATTGTTTGCCAACCAACACTGGGTCTACCAGCAGGATTCCGCCCCCGCTCACAAGGCTAAGAGTACGCAGCGCTGACTGGAAAGCAATGTGCCAGAGTTCATTGCTGCGGAAGATTGGCCCTCAGGGAGTCCGGACCTCAATCCTTTAGACTACAAGTTGTGGGACCTGCTAGAGCAGTTGGCCTGCTCCAAAGCCCACCGTAATATCGAGTCCCTGAAAGCGGATTTGATCCGATCAGCGGCAGCTATTCCTTTGGAAGCTGTGCGTGCAGTGATAGATGAGTGGCCCGCGAGATTGAAGCAGTGTGTGAAGGCCAAGGGGGGACATTTTGAATAAAACTGTTTGATTATGAATTCTAAAAATGTTGTCGAATAAATAATATCTTTCATATAAATATATCTTGTTTCATTTTTATCATGAGATTATCATGGGACAGAACTTATGGCACGACTACGTATATACGATTTTACGTCATCTGTAACAGTACCCTAATTCGGATCTCTCAGTCAGGGACGTGTTGCTCAAAAAGTGAGGTCAGAAATATGTGTATACCACACCACATGTTTCTTAATTAAAATTCGGTGAATATTAGAAGTATTATGATTTTCAGGAAAAATACGCTGCTTTCTGCTCACATATAACATGTGAAGCCATCTTCAACGAAAACTTGGTTCCAGTCACTAATAGGAGATGTTTATGTGAAGTAGCTAAAGAAATCGGATTTGTGGATCAAGCTCAGAAAATATTTGCATTGGAAAGTCAACTATGTACTTTCAGACATTTGGTAAGTTAACATAGTCGCGGGGACGAGAACTTAAACGATCACCGTTTACGTGGTGGATAAAAAAAGCGATATCGTCGGCCTGATAGGGTAAGATAGGCGTAGACTTTGTGGTGCAATTTGTGTAATCTAGGGTCAACTGAGGCCTGCCAATGTTGGAAATATTTCGCTGTCATCATTTGAAATCCAAATTGTTCCTAACGTCAGATCGACTAAATGTCTGTTATTTTCATATTGCACCAGTCAAACACAAATATTTCCATTCGACATCGGCTAGGTAGAGCTTTCATTGCACACCCAGCGAATACAAAATTAGCAATAACTCCATTAGAAATTTCGTTCCTGATGTGTTTTTACTTCTCCTCGATTCTTAAATTTTGAGCTTCTATTGGCAAGTTGTACCGCGAGAATTTAGCAGCCCAGAACTTGTATTTGATTTAATGCAGCGTAAATACCATGTAAATGGTTAAACATTGATCAAAAATTGATAGTGCATTTTCATTAGTTTACTTCCTACTCCACTGGGCGAGGAAGTATAAGTGCCAAAAAATTTTTAGATGTTATATGACATGTATATCACGAAAAACCATGGTCACTCTTTTTCGTCGGTCGGTCTGCCTATCCGCTAATCTTTGGCCCACGAGAAGAACCTCTCGGATGTTGATGAAATTTTCACACAAGGTTGCTACTATGCCCATGACGAAAAAGCTTTGCATTTGTTGAAAATCGATCCAGTGGCATCGGAGGAAAACGCGAGAAACGAAAAATTAAAAACATCATCATTTCAGAAAAATGTTGTGGGGTTTTGGACGTTATCTTAATATACAGGGTGTAAACGTTATAATAGTCATTATTTAAATGGGTGATAGAGGGGGTTAAAAGAAGCAAAAAGTTTCATATAGCATGGGGGTCGAAACGGCATTTTTTTAGAGAAAAGCGACTTTAGAGTAAAATAAAATCTGACAACGCCGCAATGCCAGACGCAAATTACGATGGAACGCAGTGTAAATAAGTTTGTTATTTTTGGCTCTTAGGTATTATTTCATTATTTGATAATGTACTCGTGAAATGCAAACAATTAAAAAAAAACGGACTTACCACTAACTGTCTCAGCGCTTTACCTGGTGTGTGAAAGTTTTTTGAACGTATTAAAAAAATCCACCTATAAATAGGGAACACAATTTTGAAACATACATTGTTTTTCTTTTTAAAACCCACACTGCACTTTTTTTGTATTTAAAGGTGTTCAAAATGTCGTCATCCACTTTCCACACAAGCTTCATTACGATGAACCCAATTTCTTCTTACTCTAGGTCCTCAAAGTTGTCCATTTATTATTTCAGCCGCATTAATTTTTTTTCGCGAAGTTGTGCTTGAGTTATTATTGGACCAGCCCCATAAACCATCCCTTTAAGTTCTCCCCAATAGCAGAAATCCATTGGATTGAGGTCAGGAGATCTTGCTGGCCATTTTCGAGGATCATGAGCATTTCGACCGATCCAGCGATTTGGATAATGTTCATTCAAATACTGAATGACGCCTCTAAAAATGTGTGGTGGTGCCCCGTCATGAAGAAACCACAAATTATGTCTCCGTTGTAATGGCATGTTGTCTAAGATCTGTTCTAAAAGTGCTGGTAGGTTATTGGCTAGAAAGCTAAGGTTTCCTTCTCCTGACAACTTTGGGGGTAACTCGGAAGTGCCAATTACCTGATCGTCAAGAATACCCGCCCAAATATTTATTTTAAAACATTTTTGTTGGAAATGACCTTCACGAATGGTATGAGGATTTTCTTGGGCCCACGTGTGATTATTATGGAAATTTAGTATTCCGTCTCGCGTAAAAGTACATACGTCCGTCGCTAGAATGTTTTTAAAAAAATCCGGATTTTCGATGTTTTTGTGCAAAAACCACTGACAGAATGTTAGTCTGCGAGGATAGTCTTCTGGTAACAAGGCCTGCACTCGTTGTACATGGTAGGGATAAAGCAAATTTTCCCGTAGGATTCTATCGACTATGGTATGCGATAGTCTACGCGGCGGCCTAATTCCCGAGTGCTGATATCTGCGTTGATTGCCACGATATTTAAAATTTGTTCCTCCTGCTCTACAGTAAGCTGTCTTTCACGAGTGCGAATATTAGTGGGCTGAACACTTCCTTTATCTCGCAGTCTTTGGTACACTTGCACAAATGTCCTTCTGTCTGGGTGTACTCGTTGGCAAAATCTGTCGCGATAAATTTGAGCTGCAAGATTTGAATTCTGACGAGCTTCACCGTAAACTAACAACATGTCGGCGAACGCTTGATTCGAGAACATTGTAAATAAACACGTATTACGAATGTAAAAATGACGATGCTTGGAAGTTTTAAAAATGAATGAATACGATCTGCTGCGCAACAACGCTCGATTTTTTTCTGCCCCATGTATTTACATGTTTTTGTCCGGGACCACTTCTGTGTGGACCTATGATTCAGCGTCTAATCTTCTCCCAGTGCCGTCCCAGGATACGCTGCACTATTTTTCCGTAACAATCGGCCTTCCTGACCCTCTGGTGTCCCCGCCAGTGGTATAGTAACCATGGTTGTTATTTGCTGCCCTAGAAAGGAATCAAAATACAGTACCACTTTATTATGAAATATATTACAGGGTGGATGAATTGTAGTATTGTTCACTCACAGTCAGTGTGACCTTAGTTACCACACTCACACACCTTCTTCCGCAGTGTGATCTTAGTTACCACACGCATATACCTTTGCGAATGTGTGAACTTTGTTACCACACGTGTATTATTTTCAATAGTGTGAACTTTGTTACCACACATATATTATTTTCATTAGTGTGAGCTTTGTTACCACATATATATATATATATTTATGCATATTACTTTTCATCTGATGTGACCTTAGTTACCACACCACCAGTGATATATAATAAAACTGCAACTTCATGAACCAGTTTTATTAACATGATGATTAGAAGACATATGAGCAATACTATCACACATACCTTACAGCCTAACCTTCCAACAAATCAATTAATTCGTCAGTACTATTGACATCGCTTTCACTTTCTGAAATATCAATAACACCGCCTTTCCATTCTCTCAAGCTATCAGCAGCCACTATTGCTCTAAATCTCTTATACCCCTTTAAGCCCTCCAAAGATGTTATTTCATATCTATCATTTCCCAAAACCTTCTTGATTTTATAAGGCCCACCAAACTTTTGATAACCTACTTTCCTACTCACTTCTTTTTTATTTGTATTCGCCCCAGACCATAGTACAAGATCACCCTTACTGTATGACTTTGTAGGAGTGTGCTTTTCATCGAGACGTTTTTTCATCTTTTTCGCCTGTAGGTCCATCCTCTCCTTTGCCTTTCGCTTAGCATCGGGAGAGGCCTCAAACTCATTATCTCCCAAATCAGCATGACGATTTTTTTCATAACCAAACATTAAAAGGTGTGGTGTGTACCCGGTAGTATCGTTTACGGTATTATTTATACCAGATAAGAGTTTGGGAAGAGCTCTTTGCCAGTCACTTTCATTTTATATAGACGTATTTATTCCATTTAATATTGTTCGATTATACCGTTCGATTTACCCATTTGCTCTTGGACATGCTATAGCGTTTAGAATATGTTTAACCTGATATTGACTTAAAAATAGTTTGATTGCTTTACTAGTAAAAGCTTTTCCACAATCCGAAATTATTCTTTTGGGAGTCCCGAACATACTAAATAAATCGTCTAAATGCTCATTGACCTCCTTAGCTTTTGTAGTTTTAGTCGGTCTAGCAAATAAAAATTTAGCGAATGAATCAATTATCATGAGAATATATGAATTTCCCCTATCACTTTTGACAAATGGACCCAAATGGTCAATATGCCATGTATGAAGTGGTTCGCATGGCTTAGTTATCGGAAAAAGTTGTCCTTGTTGTTTCCCATATTGTCCCCTTTTATAATGACAATCTAGACACGCAGTTACGTATTTTTTTATAAACCTAGTCATATTTTTGAACCAAAATTTGTCCTTGATAATTGCCTCGCAGCGTTTTAGTCCCACATGACCAATATCATCATGATATTTCCGCAATATGTTAAATCGCGCAGACTTGGGGACAACCAGCTTAAGCTTACCATCTAACGTCTTACGATACAATTTATGATCCCTTATTTCATAATTATTTGAAATGTCCTTGTCGTTTGCTGCGGCTAACTTTTCTTTTATCATCCGGATACTTTCGTCTTGTTGTTGTAAAACCCAATCAGACGCATCCATAATAAGTACATCGCTTACTGGATTTCTGCTTAGAGCATCTACATGTTTCATTTTATCGCCTGGACGGTGTTCTATTTCAAAATCAAAATCTTGGATGCTTAACCACCATCGTGCAACCCTAGGTAGCAAATCTTTTTTCTCAAAAGTACTACACTACAATCTGTGGCTATTTTGAAGTGTATTCCTACCAAATAGACCCTAAATCTTTTAATTGACTCAACAACAGCTAAAGTCTCTAGCTCGTATGAATGATATAATTTTTCATCACGTGATGTTGCGCTAAAGTAATAGACCGGTTTTAACGTAGTTCCCTCATACTGCAGGAGAATGCTTGCAATGCCCTTGCTACATGCGTCTGTATGTAATTCAGTCTTTGCTTTAGGGTCATAAATTTTTAGGATAGGTTTATTTATAAGTATATCCTTAATCTTACTAACAGCTTGTTTGTGCTCACTTTCCCAAGACCACGGTACATTTTTGCGTAACAATGTTGTAAGTGGAGCGACAATTTTAGCATGATCTCTTATAAATTTCCGAAAACAGGAACTAAGCCCCAAAAACTGCCTTAGTTCATGTATATTTGTTGGATCCTTGAAATCTGCTACTGCTCTAACTTTTCGATCACCAGGTCTGATTCCTAGTTCCGAAATCTCATAACCAAGGAAATCAATTTGTGTCTGGAAAAATGAGCACTTATCTATGTTGAATTTTAAATTGGC